TTATGTGTTCGGTGCTGAGCATAAAAATTTTACACACTGGGAAGACATGATAACAGATGCTGACATATCTGTGAAGTTTCTGAATTCTGCAAACATGGTGGTGCAACACGTTCAGGCTGAGACAAGGCCGGTGTGATGAGGCAGCAGTCAATCCCATGAAGGACAGAGTTCTCCCCGTTGCCCCGCTCAGCACTGCTTTGAGATGACAGATGAAGGGCAGGAGTTACAGTGATGTTCCACCCTCTCCTCAGCCCTGTGCCTGAGCGAACTGTCAATATGAGCCTTCCTCATATTGTGGAAATGGGGTGAGGGGAACGGTAACAACTGTAGAGTAACAGGGCAGGTGGAAGGTGGTACGTAAGTGCCACTTGCTTCTCATTAGGGAAGTTACTGACAAAGGTGTTGGGAGACACAGCTGCCTGGCAGATCAAAGCCAATCATCTCCCAATGCAACGGATCATACTCTGGAGGCAAGATTCCTGGCTCTGCCATCAAGACTTGGTGCTCCATCACCTAACCTCTCTAGGAAGGGAGGGAGCATGGAAGGAAGGAGGGAGGGAGGGAAGGAAGGAAGGAAGGAAGGAGGGAGGGAGGGAGGGAGGGGAAAAAGAGAATGAGGGGGGAGGGAAGAGAAGGAAGGGAAAAAGGGTGGAAGGAAGGCAAAGAAAGAAAAATAAAAGGGGCTGTATAATGCAATATACGAGTTCTAAGGTATTTCATCTCTAATAATTCTGACTATCATTAACTGGCCAAGACAGTAAGAAAGGAGACGCCTAATTTAAAGCCTGTATCAAATCTAGAAGCAGAATTCTTTATTCAAGTCATTTTTTTAGATCTCTGCCATTTAGAGAATGTGAAAGACATACAGATCCCTTGGTCTTGAGATTGCCAAGGTATCTACATCTAATAAAAATAGTCATAATAAAAATACATTTTCATATGTTTTCATATGAAAACAATTAGCAGGAAACCATAAGTTAATGGGAAGACCAACTTGGTTGAAGGTGAGCAGGAGAGTGAGGGAGACCTGTGTAGAATGGGTGTTTGTTGAGTCAAAATTGTGCTTCTGATCTTTTTTTATTTTTTGTTTTTGGTGGAGGCAGGAAGGTTCCTACATAGACCCAGATTATAAAGCACCAGAAATGCAAATCGCCACTTTTTACACGAGTACAATTACCCACAGACGTCTTCTAAACTCAAAGGCAGAATACAAATAGAATTAGTAAAACAAATGTGCGTTCTTGTATTATTTATTTCTGAGATTAGGTTATTAATTATTCCAGAAATAAGGTCCATGTAAAGAAGTGACAACCTGTAAGACCAAAAAGGACAGCCTCATGGCGGCCTCAGGGTCTTTGTAAATGAAGGAGTCCGGTTTTCTCCGACGCGCAGGGAAGCAGGATGCTATTTGATGGGCAGTGTTCTGTGGATCCGTTTCCGGACGTGCTTCCTTCTGCTTGCCTGCCTGTTCAGATAGCTGAGGTGCTTCCCCTGCAGGGCTTGAGATGCTTCTTCTAACAATGATGATGTCCCTATCACAATCTTGTCAACTGGAAACCAAACTGCCCCTCATGCTTTAACGCTGAGACAGCAGGTGAGTCACTCAAAGGGGCTGTGAGAGCCGACAGGCCCTTGGAAGTGAGGCTAGTCCCTTGGAAGGACTAGCTCAAGGTCATGCCGTAAAAAGCTGAGCCAGTTCTAAATTCCACGTACAAACTGCCAGTGCCCATTAGAGGAAGACGGTCCTTATTTTGCCACTCTTTACACTGGTTACCTAGCCAGCATGGTATAAAATGAACAAATATTTTGTAAAGGGTTTAAATCAATGACACAGCCTAGGAACATCTAGAATAGTGATGGTGACCCATCAAAAGTATAGCTATCATTGTCTAAAAAGGTTCATCCTTTATAAAGTCATGGAGCTCAACTGTGCATTGTGATTTAATCATACTGTGCTTACGTGTGTTATACTTCTCAGTTGGTTCTTTCTTATCCATTTTAACCAAAGATAGTAAATAAATGTTCCAGACTTCTAGGAACATTTCAAACATAAATTCTATAAATCTCCAAAAGAGGTTTGAGTTAGAAAGAACTATACGGTTTGCAGCTATTTCATGATTTTCAAATCATTTAGAAATAGACCTGAGATTACTTTCATATACAGTGAAACCAACAGGATAGCTTGCAATAAATAAATAAAGGAAATCACACATTTGTTCATTTAAAGATAAATGATGTCTGACCAAGGGCTTGGTATATTACGTAGGCTCAGTTCCTAGAGAACCCTTTCCTGTGGTATTGAGGGCTATGTTTACTTTAAACAATTATTATAAAATTATGCATTGTTTATTCTTTCTTAAAAGGGGTGCAAGCTGAGTCAGTGATCCTGGGCTGAAGAGTAATTCAAATAAGCCCTTTGGTTTATGTTGCATGCAAGAAGGCTTTAAAGATCTAATCTTTGCTAAACCTGTTATGTTCTTCGGTTCAGCAGAGCTTCCTAATTGTAGCTATTAGTTCCTCCTTTTTTGTGGTCTGTTCTGTCAATAGACTATCGAGCATTTAGTAAATTAAGCCCAACCAGCAGCCAACACATCGAGACAGACGTTAAATCATAGCTTGGCTGCCCTTATTCATTACGAGTAGCTGTGAAATAGCTTTTAAGCACAGGGGTAGGATTTAACATGATGCACATTTGTGTCATTCTCAAATTTCCATACTGTACAATCAGGTATGTGAGGGTTTTTTTCCTCTAGGCAACAGGTGTGTTCTTGGAACAAAGTTCAACCCCCACTTGTGGCTTATGTGAGCAGCAGCAGCTGCAAGCTTACCGCCAACGACACATGGTTCTAGAAGAGAAAAATGAACGGCTTGTTCAATGTATTAAAGTGATGGGCAGATGGATGATAGCAGCCTGCACTTTTCTTTGTCTTATAGGCTCAGAGTCGAGTCTAAACTTTTAGAAAACAAGTGTTTTTCTCTCTTTATCTTCTCTCTTTCCCTTTCCTTCCTTCCTTCCTTCCTCCCTCCCTTCTCTATATTCTACCTTCTTTCCTTAATTTTTAATAAGCATTGTGTATTCATTATTCAGAATATTGCTTCATTTGGGTCACACTGTTTTCAGACCAGTGAGTGGGGGAAAAAAGTTAATATAAATCAAGCTACACTTTATTCGTAACTCAACTTTGCTCTAGAAAGAATTTAAAGGAACAGTTTACTGTGCAATTTGAAGAGACTTAGTAAGTAAATTGTATTTTTAAAAATAAAAAATTAAATATACTCATTTATAAGCCTTGTTATTCTCTAGTAAAAAAGTCTATATAAAATTTTGTGAGATAGTACTAATATGAATTATAATGTACTGTGTACCTCAGAAGCACAATATCAACATTAATTAATAGCAACAACAATACAATAATTATACTGATTGTGTTCAAGAGAGTAAATGTTTGTCAATCACTCAAGAATATTTTTTAGTGTATTGGGGTAATATTCCATTTCATATGTTAGCTTTCAGGTACTATCATGCCTGAGAATACAAGAAACATCTTACTGTATACAAAGATATTAAGCTAAAAAGCAGACCAGAGTAATTACAGAGCTCTGTGATATATTTGAAGCAAACATGTTTCATTACACAGACTTTTCTAGAACTTGTGTATGTTAGAGCTTCCCCTCTTTAGCTAGTAGGTATTTCTACAGGGATATTTAATAAAAATAGGGGTCATGAGAAGCATCTTCATTTTTCTCAGATGTGTCGAACAAATTCGTGGCAAATGTGATAAGACAAGCATGCGTCCAGTTACACCCTGGAACCCTGAAAGAGCCGAGTCACCTGATCCCCTGGAAGACCAGTGTTGGGTATCACACATAATGTCTAATTGGGGCAGGAGCAAATCGAGAATCCCTTCTTAGGTGTGTGGTTTTTTGTGTGTTTTTTTAACTCAAACCACAACTTTATTCAAGAATCAGATTTTATGTGACTCTAATCTGAAAATGGTTTTGCCAGGACTGTCTCATTGCTGAGAAAACTAAAAGCAGATGGATTTGGAATTCAATCCTCTGAGAGAAACAAAGGCAAATGAAAAAGAAGCTGGTGATAAACTTGTAGGTTTTTAATTGGTTTGGCTGTTACATTAGACTTTCACTAAATGCATGCAAATAATGACTAGCCTCAGAGAGGATGCTAAACATTTAAAAATGTATAAAAAGTGCCTAAAACTGGAAAGCAGGCCTGGGTATCACTAAAGGGCTCTACTAACCCAGAGATGATCAAATTCTATAACTTCGCTTTCCTCAAGCTGAACTCTTTAAAATCATGATTAAAATATACACATGGCAGAAAATATACCATCCTCACCATTTTACGTGTACAGTTCAGTAGTGTTAAGTATATTCAATTCACACTGCTGTGCAACAGATCTCCAGAATGTTTTCTGAAGTTAGTCTGCATTGCAAAACTAAAACTCTATACCCATTTAAAAAGTTTCTATTTCTCCCTCCCCCTGCCCCTGGCAAGTATCCTTCTACTTTCTGTTTCTATGAGTTTGACTACTCTAGATACCTCATATAAATGGAATCATACATACTTGTCTTTTGTGACTGGCTAATTTCACTTAGCATCACCTCCTCAAGGTTTATCCATGTTGTGGCATGTGTCAGAATTCCCTTGTATGTATAAACCGCATTTTGCTTACCCATTCATCTGTCCACAGACACTTGGGTGCTTCACCTTTTGGCTGTCGTGAATAATGCTGCTGTAGCATAGGTATATAAGTATCTCTTTGAGACCCTGCTTTTAATTCTATGGGGCATATATCCAGAAGGGAACTTGCTGGATTGTATAATAATGTTATCTCTAATTTTTTTTGAGCACTTGTTATACTCTTCCATACGGTGGCACCTTTGCTATTCCCACCAGCAGTGCACAAAGGTCCCAGTGACTCCACATCCTTGCTAATCTTGGTATCTTTCCATGGAGGACCAGAGAGGAAAGTACTCACGTGGGTCTCCACATCACCAGCAAGGATCCTACTCTTCTTTAAAAACTCAGCCACCGTGCTGTTCATCAGTTTGTCAAAGGCTTCCACCGAGGGTGCCATACCTTTGGGAGAAGAATATGGTGTTATTCCCATATGGTAGTTTAATGAAAAGCTGCTGCAGCTTTGCTGTAGTTAATATGGAAGTTTAATATCATTCATGTCATTGTCATTCTCTTCACTATGTCATTCATTCCTTCAATCAGTATTCTCGATGGCTCAAGAAAACAATGTTTTCTTCTTATTTTTTTTAAATCCTCACCTGAGGATATTTTCCCATGTATCTTCAGACAGAGTGGGATGGAGGGAGAGAGGAAGAGAGAGAGAAAGACATCAATGCAAAAGGGACACACTGATTGGATGGCCCCACATGACCCCAACCAGGGCCAGAATGAACCACAACCGAGGTACGTGCCCTTGACCGGAATCAAACCCGCAACTCATTGGTCTGAGGGCCGACGCTCTAACCACTGAGCCAAACCGGCCAGGGCTGTTTTCCTATTTTTCATCCTCCTCAGTAAGACTTTCACTTACATAAGTTCATGTAATTCTCCCCCAAACCTGTGGGGTAAGCAGCGCCATCGTTTTTCTGATGAGGAAACGGAGATGAAAACGGAGCACCCGACTGGAGCAGAGCCGTGTGACAAGTAGAAGGCGGATCCAGAACCAGAACCAAGCCTCATTAACCCTCGGCCAGTGTGCTTCCCTCCAGACTGACCAGACCAGGTGCCGTCACGGCTTTGCAAACAGTTACCAGCGTTACCCAGGACTATTAAAGGTGAATATGGACTGTGGGCAAGTGGAAAAGGAAAGCTGAGGTCACACACATTGTCTCTTCTTCAGCTCCAGGGGGACGAGAGGTAGCGATGGAGGGCAGGAAAGAAATGTAGAAGCTGAAGTGACAAGGGCTCAGGCTGGTGTGCTCTGAGTTTCTCTCCCTGCCTTTTAGTTCACAGGAAAAGTCTGTCCAAGTCCTGGACTTCAGATCCCCCACACTGAGAAAGATAACATTGAGAAACTCAGCACTACAGGCTGCTAACCTCCAAAACAAAAGCTAGGGTTGCCTTTCTCCTATTGGACAGAAATAGGCAAGCTGTAAAATAGAGGTCTCCTTCCTTTTCCCGGGTGCCCATTTCCACAGGCCCAAGGGGTGATGGAAACAGTTGCTCACAGCTCTCTGCACCCATCTGACTTCTCACTAAGCAGGCTGCTGAAGCTGAGTTATCTTAAAGCTCAAAATGCAGTATGTGCCAAGTTCCAGAACGTAAAAGGGGTGCAAGCCCAAAGATTCCTTATGGATCCATTTGGAAATAGACAAACCTGTTTGCTGCTAGGAGAGAGGCCTGAGAGGTAGGTGTCTGTGGAATACTTAAAGTAGTAGAAAGTTTTAGAAATGTAATAAAGGCCTCTACGTGGAGAAGGTATAATGATAAAAGGGAATATTTTCCTATTGCCTTTCATCACTCAACTCTGCTCACACCTCCTCCAGGCAGCCTCCAGTGACCTCTTTCTCCCCAGCCTGCATCCTTTAAGCATCCCTCAATCAAAGTATTTGTGGCCCTGGATAGCATTGCACTGAGACCAGAGATTCTAGAGGATTAGGACCGTGTATATAATTCATCTTAGATTTCCTAGCACCTACCATGGTGCTTGTCACTTGGCAGGCAAACAAAAATATTTCTTCCACTCTTAAGCCAAACTTACCTGATTGTCAGGGATAAAATAAAACATATCAAAACACATCATAACACCAGTGTCATAACAAGGCATTTCTTTGATCTGTGCATAGATGGATTTATAATGGACTGGATTCCTTCTAAACGTTTCTTTTGAAATAAAAAATAATTTTTAAACTTAACACTATAGCGTCATTGTAATGATGATGTTTATATTTAGGGTGAGAGGTTATGGTTAAGGATTTTTTCAAAATAGAATTTAGAAAATTCCCAACGCTGACTAATTAAGAAGAAATGGAAGTGATGTTTAGGATAAGGAAAAGGTCTTAAGGATGGATATCATTCAGACATTTTACTAACTATCCTACTTGCTAAGTACCCTACTGCATTCAAGTAGGATAATAAATTGCTTTAAAAGACCTGACTTTAATAACTGGTCTGAAATTATTTGCTATATGAGAAAATATTTGCTTAAGTACTTAAATAATTTAATTATATACCTCAATTTTGCTTAGCTTATTAATTTTCTCAGAATTTAAAAAAAATCCTCAGCCAAGGATATGTTTTCATTGACTTTTAGAGAAAGGAAGGGAGAGAGAGACCTTGATTGGTTGCCTCCCATACAAGCATCAACCAGGGATTGAACCCACAACCTAGGTAAGTGCCCTGACCAGGAATTAATCACACCACCTTCTGGTGCATGGGATGATGCTCTAACCAACTGAGCCACCCAGCCAGGGCCCCATTATATATATATATATATTTTATAAAGAAAAAAAGTACAGTCTAGTAGCTCTTTGAGTAAACAAAGTTTAAATTATGAAGGTTTTTTTCCCCCTTTACTCAACAACACTACACAATCTCTTGGGAATTGGATTTAACTTTATTTTATGCATTCACCGGCTTTATATTTGTGTTTGGCAATCTTAGAGAAACTTCTTTTGTTCACCAGAGGCCAAAGTAATAGGGACACAAAGTTACTGACGAGAACATAAAAATATTTTCTTACAAATAAGGTTGACTAAATCTCATAGAGCAACTGGATGGTTAACAAAAACAGGCTTAACACCCCCTTTCAATTCGTTCAGAGCATTTTAATTTTCATTATGATCAGGGGGAAAAGAACCAGCCTGTGCATTGGTGCTCACGCAGTGATTTTTGTCCCAGGGCATGTAATACAAGACGCAGCTCCAAATACGCCTGAAATTCTAGAAGCACCAGTGTGGATCCTGCCTGGTGAAAGCTGTCTGAAACCCCCTCTTCCACAACTCTTTTCTCAGCCCCCCAAAGCCTGACAGGATTCAAAATGGGTCAGATAAGGAGGAACCTTATGTGAGATAAGAACAGAGTTGCTAGATTAAACAAAGATAGCTCAGTCATATTTGAATTTCAAATAAACAATGAATAGGTTTTTAGCATAAGTGTGTACCATGCAGCATATCCTGTGCAGTATTTGGAACACACTTATACCAAAAAAAGCGCAGCTTATCCAGAATTCTAATTTAACTGGGTGTCTTGTTTGTTTGTTTTGTTGTTGTTGTTAATCCTCACCCAACTGGGGTTGGGGATCAACCCTGCAACCCAGGTATGTGCCCTTGACTTGGAATCAAATCCAGGATCCTTTGGTGTATGGGCCAACATGCTAACACTGAGCCATACCAGCCAGGGCTGGCTGTCTTGTATTTTTATTTGCTAAATCTACCATCTTAGGCAAGAAGAAATTGGAAAAATTACCGTAGATAACTTAATTTGCCATACAGGGTGTTACATCATGTTAAAGAAATAGTTAAGTATTTTATGTTTGCACACATAATTTCTAAAGTGGTGTTAGCATGAAATTTAGAAAGCATATTTGGTTAGGAATAGACACAGGTAAAACAACACGACGTGCTCATGTAACAAGAAAGTCATATTTGGATTTATATCAGGTTTGCTTCCTTTAAAACTGCAGTTGTTAAACGTAATGACTTGTTCTCTTTAAAATTAAAATCTACAGAAGAATCATTCCTTCCAGTTCACATTCTGAGAACATTAGTTTCTTTTTGATAAATACTCAGATAATGCATTGAGTCACTGAGCGTGGAACAGCAGTATAAACACTAAAACGAAAGAATAATGGTATTTGGCACATGGATCATGAACTTAATAGGCAGCGGTGCTAGTAATTTTTGTGGTTTGTGCGTTAAAACGTTTTATCCTTTCTTTTTTTCGGGGATCGCTTGCACCTGGTTAATGTCACAGTCAGTATAAAGAAAGAGGTAGGGAAGCTGAAGAAAGTAGATGGAAATATTGCTTGAGAGCTAAGCGATGCGGACAGAAGCAAGTGACCCACGTAGAGACCAAGCCTGTGGCCCTACCTCCGTCGACACCGTTGATCTCCCCACAGTTCCCGGGGGGCCGGTGTGACACGGCAGACAGCAGCTCCAGCCGGCCGACGGCTCGTTCCAGCCTCTCCACCAGGGCCTGCATCTCCTCCATTCTAGAAGAACACAGGAAGGAACGGAGGCCATGTGAGCGGGCAGGGTCAGCAAGCCGACACCGTCAAATTTAACAGAGGCAAGAAGGAAAATAAAGATTGCTGGAAAGGGCTTTAATTACCTAGAGAATATTTCTACATGTCAGGAAAATATGTGAAATGCAAAAGAACATAAAACTTGGAACAAAACCCCCCACAAATTTTATTGAGTTTGTTTTTGTTCAATCTAATGACTTTTACAAGCCCCATATGCAATACACAAACATCTACTCTCTTTATATCATTATCAGGTGTTTCCTTGGGTTCTCCTCTGAGCTATGATACAATCTATGTCTAGCACTTACTTAAAAGCCCAGGAATACATATCTTACAATTAATATTGTCAACTCTTTTTATTTTTATTTATAGATTTTTTTTTAGAGAGAAAAGAAGGGAGAGAGCAATAGAAACATCCATCTGAGTGAGAAACATTGATTGGCTGCCTCCTGCACGCCCCCTACTGGGGACTGAGCCAGCAATCCAGGCATGTGCCTTGACCATTGAGCCACACTGGCCGGGCCCAACTCTTTTTATTTTGTTCATTCTCACCTGAGGATATTTTTTCCATTTATTTTTTTAGAGGAAGTGGAAGGGAGGGAGGGAGGGAGAGAGCAATATTGATGTCAGAGACACACATTGATCGGTTGCCTCCCATATGCGCCCCATCCGGTGCCAGGAATCGAACCTGCAACCCAATTAGGTGACCTTGACTGGGAATCAAACCTGAGACCCTTCCATCTGTAGGCCGACATTAACCACTGGACACACCAGCCAGGGCTAATATTTCCAACTCTTATTGCTAAATGGTGGGAGCATATTTTAATCATTTCCAATAATTCTTTCTCTTAAAGTATAATTCTTCAAGGGACACTAAACCACTGATAACACTTGTTTACATAATTGCCCTACACCAAACAGCCCAGCGCAGGAGAGCTATGAGTCCGAACGGCATCGCTTAGGAGGCGGACAGAGGCCGTCACCTCCAGAGCCAAAGGTCTTCTCCTTACTATCAGTTTGTTTCAGTGCTCTCCTGCTAAGTTATTTTAAGTTGCAATTATTCTGAATGGTGGGGATTTTAATTTAAAATATTAAAGGTGGTTATTTCCCTTGGATGTTGGTTATTTTAGACAGATTTCAGTTTTAGGTGGGGTGGTTTTTGGAGACAGCGGTCTTCAGTTACCCAAACCTCTTGGCTGATATAAACAGGCTTTGAAGCTGCCTAAGGAATAGGGGGTGAAAGTGAGGCATCTATCCATCCTTCCAGCTTCCAAACAGATCTTAGACAGCTACCCTGAGGGTACACAAGATGCGTACCTTCAAACCACTGGCTCTGGAATGGAATGTTATTTAGGTGACCCCTGAGGTATGGAACCCAAGCTCGTCTGAGCAGACTCGTGAGATCAGCTGGTAGGTACCGTGACTCCAACCCTTGGCAACAATCAGGCTGCTCCCCAGAGTAAGGTACACAGGCCTCGTCACAGTCTGTGCTCCTTGCTGTTAGGAACTTTCCAAGCATCATTCTGAGCCACAGAGGACAGCCACGTGCCCACATCAGCGGCAACGCGGCCCGGAGCGCGGGGAGACCGCTTGGCTCTGACACGGCGACTATTTTCTCTCTCTGCTGGGAACCGGCTAAGGCGCTTCTCTGTTGTATGATGTAGTCTGTTAGTTTTGAACTTAAATGTAACGACGCCTTGCCGCTGCCTTTACTAAAAAGCAAGGTTATACTGATGAAAACACATGGACAGCTTGGTGATTCTGCATCGAAATGTCAGCTGGTCATCAGATACGGATGCGGAAAGCTCACTGTCTATTGTGGAAAGTCATCTCTTCTAAAACTGCCAGCAGCTACTCTTTCAAAATATGGGGCAGTGTTCTCTGCACGGCTGAAATCAGCATCTAATCCCAAGGGGATTCAAAATTAGAAGTTTCTCATCTATTCTTTTCCTCTTAACGTCAGAGCTTTTGCTTCCATCGCAAGTGAAGAGAGAGAGAAAAAAAAGAAGAAAATTAATTGAATCCATTACGTAAGCTTGTGAGGGAACTGGGTATCCTGTAGGTGGAGGAAGGCCATTTGAGAGAGGATAAAAGCCCCTCTAATCTTTTAATAGTTGCCCATCTGTTCACAGTTATCTATGTTTCTTGTTACTCAACTTGCCAAACGTTGTTACCACCGTCGACCAAGCCCAGCCCGGAAAAAAAGTGTGTGCTTTCTATCCCCCACCAGAAAAGCACCAAGCGCCTCCAGCAGCCGAAGAGTTGTTTGAGGAAGGCCTGTTACATTTCACACGGAGTGCTGCCCCGGCTGTGGCTGAATCAGCCTCCCAGACAAGACCCACACCGCACACTATCTAAGAGTGCTTCATATGTTGAAAGACAACAGCAGTTAGCCCATACACGGCAGGGCCGGGCGGACTGGTGTGGAATGCAGGCCAAACGGGAGTCAGATGTCACTTCATGTCAAGTCACCATGAACTGAAGTCTTGCCACCGCCTCATCAGAGGTCAAAACACAGTTCACGCACAGAAGCTGGAGAGATGCCTCCAGGTTTAAAAGTTTAGAACAGTTTCTAGGAGAAATGGGAGAACAAATAAAAGAAAGAATATGCCAGGATATCAAATATATACATGTTAGTATTCCCAGGGAAAATAACAGGGTCCAAGGTGACGGTGCCCTCTTTTTCCAACACACACACACACACACACACACGCACACACGTCTCCCCACATGCACTTTTAGCTGCCAGCCTGGCTCTCAAGAATGAAGAAAGAGCAGAGCCGCAGATTACCCAGATTCTTCCCGAACAATTCCATTCGCCTTGGCTTTTCAGAATGGGTCTAGCCGGGTTTTGCGAAGGAGGTGGGAGGCAGGAATCAAGAATTACATTGAAGAGATGCATAGGGCAGTCGAAGCAAATGCAGACAGCTAGACCAGGCGAGGGAATGAGTCAGGGTCAGGTGGGCAGAGTGATGTGGATCAGGAAGCCAGTGGAGAAGGGAAGAATGGCAACTTGGTGGACATAAGATGTTCTAAGACTCAGATGAGATGCAAAGAGAAGCCAGATACCCAGCAGGAGAATCAAGAGACTGGGTTCCGTGCTGCCGCTCAGATTTTCTGCTCAAGTAGAAGCCCACCCTGAGCTGAGGTCCCCTGTAACCGACATGTTATAGAGGATAAACAGCAATATTTGACTAGTGTCAGGATGGGTGAAAAGAAAAAGGTGGAGGAATATAAAATTTCACAACTTTCTCTTTTTAATCTTTTAGGAAATGATACTTAAGGTTAATCTTAATTCTTTTTTTTTTTTTAATATTCTCTTTCGAGTTGCTCTATAATGGGAGCATCTTATCCTTGTTTGTCGTTTTTTCTTATTTGCATTTCCCCCTCACTATCCCTTTTTTACAGTTTAATTTTTATTTTTATCAAAGCCAAACAGAGATGTAGAGTTAACAGTTCTACAACACTTAGGACAAAACAGGACAGTCCCCCAAAACTCCCTTCTCTTCTTTGTCCTGAGAGTCAACCATTTGCAATTATTTTAGCTGTTTACTTTAGTAATTGCCTCCTTATCTCTAAATAATATGTACATGGCTCTAGGTCTTGTTTGTTTTCTTCACTTCCAGGCATTATCCATTGAGTTCCCACCAAAAAGAAGGTTTCCCTTTTTCTTGCTCCATCTCCCCATCAGCACACACACACACACACACACACACACACACACACACACACACGCCTATTTCTTTTCATCCCATCCTCCCAACAGTCTTATATCCCAGTTTTTGTGTGACCAAGGATCAGTGCTTACACAAGAATGACTAGTCACAGTTGAATCATGACGTGCACTAAGATGATTTTTCATTTTTTGCACAACTTGTTTTCCTAAAGCCATTTTTTCAACTTCTTGGTTTCCTGTTTTTAAAAATGATTTTTCTTTATTGATTTTAGAGAGAGGAAGGGAGAGGGAGAGAGAGACAGAAATATTGATGAGTGAGAACATCGACTGGCCGTCTCCTGCATGGCCCTCACTGGGTATTTGGCCCACAATCTGGGCATGTGCCCTGACTGGGAATTGAACTGGCAACCTCTTGGTGCAGGGGTCGATGCTCACTGAGCTATAGTTTCACAGTTTTCTACACACTTAAATATTAATCGTCTCCAAACTCTTCCCTCCATTGCGAGAGTCCCATTTCAGTGGGACCAAACATATCTGGAATTCTTAGCTTTCTTCTGAGAGCTATGTCTTCTGGAGAATTACTCCAACTGCATGATTGTCCCATAGACCTGCTGCACATCTGCAACCTGGGATCTGCCTTCCCCTTTTCCGAAGGTGAACAGAGAAATAAATCATCATTCTAGGGATTTCTCTCCCTGCCCCCTTATGCACTATTACCAGTTTTCTGGACTCTATATTCTCTTTTTTCTGGGTGTACTTCCTTAATTGGAAAGAGCACTGTCTCCTGAATAAACGTACATGAAAGGTCATGTACGTTTGAGATCTTGCAAGCCTGAAAATATCTTTATTTTGCTCTCATACTTGATTGGTGGTCTGGCTGAGCATAGAATTCCAGGCTGGAAATTTTCCTCTGAATTTTAAAGGCATTGCTCCAGTGTCTTCTAGCTCCCTAGGTTGCTGCAGAGAAGTCGAAGCCACTGTGATTCTTCGTCCTTTGGATGTAACCTGTTTTCCTCTCTGGAGTTTTTGGGATCTTCTCTTTGTACCCAGTGTTTGGAACTTTCATGATGACATGCTTTGTTGTTGATTAAATATTCTCCCTATAAATGATTTTCAAGAGGTGTAGAAAAGTAGGAAAATGGGCATTGCATATTGTATGTCTTTGGGAGAGTTTATAAACCAAAGTTTTGGTTTTTGTGTATGTGTGATTTTTTTTTAAATAAAATATTTGCGTTTGAAATATCTAAACAATTTAAACATTTCTCACAGAAATTTCATACATTTACAAAAA